GAATGTCTACCCCAGATAGTCAAAAAATCAAGTCAGGTCCTGAAGACTGTGGAACATAGAATACAAAGTGCTGCTGATACTCACTGTGCATGTTACATCTGGTTTTTGAGCCATGGATGTTTATGGCTTCAAGCTTCATCTCATACCACTGAGGGCTAGAAACTTGCTTTGTTTTTTTGAAGCACTGAGGAAAAACGTGCAGGTAGCTGACTCCAGGAGATGGGAATTGAAAGGAAACCATCCTACAGCTGCCTGGTGAACCATGAGTGTTTGCAGGACCATGATGTCCCCTTTCTTGGCAGTCGCCCTGTACAAGTGAGATTCCTTGCCCACAGCCCTCGCATCACAGCCTTCGCTGCACCGAGCTTCAGTTCTTCCCTTTGCAAATATAGGGGCTAGGGGGATGTTCATCTCACTTGTGTTTGCATGACACTTGAACAGTGTTTGTGGTGTTTATACATCAGGGACGTGTCCTCTGCACGGGGCAGTGCCCGTGTCCCACGCCTGGCAGGGGGAGGCCTTGGAGCGGCTGTCACAGCGTGGGTGCACCCATGGGTGCTTCTGTCCATTCTGCCCGCTTTGACCACCTCTCCTGCAGCCTCCCAAGGCAGATCTTCTCAAAAAATGTTCTCTGCCCAGCACTGAGCTCCCAGTGTCCCTGCAAAAACATATTCCCTTATGCTTGTGGGAAATCTGCAGGATCGGATCCCTCAGTGGGACGTGGCTCTGAAATCTCTGTCCTGCACGCAGTGGATACGTGCTGGATGGTAGCACATTTTTAAATAATTTGCTGCACTCTAATCTCCAGCCCGCAGGAGCCGAGTAAATTGATCCTATAGTTTCTGAGCTAAGCTTTATTGTCTGGCCAGCATAGCTCACAGAACGGCAAGCTCCATTTTTACTGCAGACAATTGCAAGCACCAAAAATGGGAATCACTGTTGGTAGAAAGTGCAGGTTTTATGGGGTTCCCCTTTGCCATTTTGATCTAGATGACATCATAAAACGCCACAGGAAAGAGCAAACAGATGCCAGCACCACAGGGGACAGGCGAAGGCAGCAGGTCAAGAACAGGAATTCGGCGTATGGGTACGGGCGGCCCCGTTTCCGCGCCTGGATGCAGAGGAATTTGCAAGGTAGGTGAGCGCCTCGGGATGGCGGAGGCCTGCCAAGCTGGAAAACACATTTCTGTAACAAAATACAGCTCTTAAATCCTTCTATCTAATTTGTGTGTGTGTATAAGATGTACTCAGGCTCTGAATAGCTTTTCTCTCTGCAACAACAGAATATCAGGGCCCTTTCAGAGCATAAATTCATCCATTTCTCTCCCTTCCACCCTCTCATGAATTACTAATTCAAAGTGACTTAATATCTATTCTCTATTCCCTTTTGGCTTTGCATATTTTAATTATGCCTCTTCCTAATCCTCTTTTTCCCAGAACACACTTAAATTACCCCTTCAGTAACTGTCTTTGATAGCTCAGTTATTGGAGCTAATTTGTCACTTTTGCCAACCATGCTATTTTTATGATGAGTTTTTTTTATAATACCGTGTGATCACACACTAATCTATGTTTGGTTCCACTAGCTTTTATCTACAAAACCAAAGTGATCGGCTGCATTAAATGCCATCTTTATCAAAATTTTGCCTTTTTTTTAAATTACTGCTAAATCACTTCATTGAAGATTTTAGTGACATTTTGCGGCAATGTCTTTGCAGTCTTCCCTTGGAGTGCCAATGGCACATCAGGACAGTGGGATTGCTGGGAGCAGTCCTGCTTGTCTCTGATCTGCCTCCCACTGTCTTGTTCTTGGTCTCCACCACATATTGCCTTACCGCGAATCGTTCCGGTTCAAAACAGGATGATGATAATTGCCCTTTGCAAATTGATTTTTCTGTCAAAAACACAGGCTTTGATATTCTTCCACACTCAAGTGACTACTGCATGCAGAGTCAAATAAATCAAACAAAATGAAACAAAATATTTTTTTTTTTAGCTATTTCTTAGAAAGGAGAACTTTTCTGTTCATTTATAAAATTATATCTGCTGGTCTTAGTATTTCATAGGTTTTAACTGAGTCTGAATTCAGCCCTGCCAAGTGCAGGGACTCGCCATGCTGTGTGGAGCTGATGTCAGTAGCAATTTTGGGAAGCTCAGCATGACTGGGAATTTAGCCCATAATTCTTCGGGGGCTCATTTCTCTTTGGTCCCTGCTGAAATGCAGTCCCTTCTGGGCTGAGATGTGATAACCGTTATCAAAATGACGATCAGAACAGCCCAGCACTGTAATGACAGGGCATGGAGAAGGGTATTATGCCGATTAAACCAGCAAGAGAATTCGTGCAAGTGAAGTGCTGTTATCCCTCCTGGAATATGGCTTAAATCATCTCCCCAGTAGGGGAAAGATGATTTTTAATGACAAGAAATTTGAATTTCAAATTTCCTCTGAAAAAGAGTCTGTCAGACATTGGAGCTTCTCCCCAAGCCGGACTAGCTAGGCAGAGGTGCCTGTTGGCCAGCCCAGGTGTGCTCAGCACCAGGCTCTGAGCATGCACCCAAACAAAGGGGGGGTCTTCCCCAGCTGCTGATGCTGTGGGGTTTTATTAAAATGCTCGTTCATTAATAAATATCTGCCAGACTTTTTGCAGAGATGGAGCCTCCCATGTGTCACACTTCAGGATACACGTGACAGACTGAAGCCTTGGTCCCCAGCTGGTGTGCACGGGGTACCCCTCGGAGGCTCCGTCGTTAGTTATTTACACTGGCTGAGGCATGCCTGAGTGCACCGCTGAGCAGAGGCTCTCTAACATGACCTGACTGACAGGGACATGATTTTCTAGTCAGGGCTGCCTTTTGCATCAGTCCCTCCCATTGCATGGATGAAATACCCAGGAAAGGCAGCTGAGCTCAGTCTGTCTCGCTGCAGAGGAGGTGCCCTCTCCAGGGTGCAGGAGAGCTGTGTTGCAAGGCTTGGTGGCCCGCAGGAGAGCGGTCTGGCAAACGGGCAAGAGAGAGGGGCAAGCCCAGGGAACAAGAAAGGGAAAAACAAACTGGGGGGACAGAATCAGGAGGGAATAAAGGGCCATTAAACACAGCAAGACCACAACTGGTCAAAAAGACACAGATTGCCAAAATTCAGGTGTTTCTAGGGAGAGGAACATTTACTCACCTGCACTTCTGTGATGAGAGGGCATCGTTTGCAAAGAAAAAACTGGCCCCACAGAGCTTGTGAACAGCGTTGCATCTTTGTGAGTGTTCCCAACCAGCACCTCTGGCTGTAGGGAGCGAAGCACCCCGAGGTGCTGTTGGGGAGGTGCTTCCCACGGGCATGCCCTGATGCCCTTTTGTTTTAGAGCCAGAGCAGCTCAAATCGTCTTCACTTGTATTCCAATGTAACCAGCCCCACGCTGGCGCTGACTGATGTTACACCCTGGGGCTGGAGCCTTCATTAATCACTGCGGTGATGGCCCCTGACAGCGATGTCACCGCTGCCTCAGAACAATTCATTTCTAATTGCTCCAAGTCATTATAAATTGCTGTGATGTAGGAATAGATGATACAGGATCAATACACGCGTCTAACTGCTCTGTGGTCTGTACCAGTGAGGTTTCGCTATATGGTGCAGGGGTTTAACCGCACTCTCGCTGCCCTCTGCCATACACTGCTTTATGCCTGATTTATACAGCCCTCTGAGTACGTCTACACATTTCACTGTATAGCGACTCAGAAAATGTCTACTTCATTATGACTACAGAAGTTTATCATGTGGAGTAATTAGGCTTTAATGCACTGTGCCTCTATCTGACGGAGCGCTTTGCTCTCGCTCGACACTTCAGCACACTTCAAAATCATGAACAGGCTTCGGGGAAAACATTAAATGCAAGATGGGCTGTTGGTGCCTATATACTGTGCAGTTATGTAAAACAGCACCAGAAGGTGCCCCCTTCAATATATGCAGTAAGTAAGGATATGTCAAGCTAAAAAAAAAAAAAAATATATATATATATATATAAAAATTATGGTCCAGTCTTCACTTATCAACTGCTGTAATGTGGGCACTCAGAGCTGTTCCAGGCTGCTGTGAGGTTGGCTTCTGGATGCTCGAGTCACTTGTATATCTGTATCAAAAGGCTTTTTCCATTTCACAGTTAATTCATAGCAATGTGAGCTCTGACAACAGATTGACAGGTTTTCTGATGCGACCGTTCCTGCCTTTATTAGGAATCAGAATTGTGGAAGTCTTTTCTCTTCTATATTCTTTCAAATCAAATAATGTGTTTGTCAGTCTTACATACGATAAGAACGTTAGTGAGACATTGGAAAGATAAATTATTTAATATTCTGTAAAATTAATTTACTTTTCTGGAATAAATTAATGTGGTTCTTGCATCACTATTTATATAGATACTCCTATATCATATTAAGTTAACCTTGTAATCCATTTGCAAAACTGTAATCATAAATCGAGTTTTGAAGGATGCTAAAATAAGTGTTTATTTTCACAGGACCTAACCGTTTTAGAAGAGGGTTTGGACAACAACAATACAATCGGAGACAATTCAGGAATACTGTGCCTGGTCCCAGGAGAAGAGCAGCTGCCGCATTAAATGGAGTGAGCCCTTTAAATCGCCAGGCATCGGCTCAAGAGGTAGGGGGGTAAGGAAGGTACAGCTGTTCCCAAATGTCATGTAGAAATCTGCTGGATTTTATGATCCTGGATCACCCCAAAGAACAATCTACATAAAAAATTTACAGGCACCATCTTTTATATGCCTGTGCACAGCATTTGTATGCATAGGTGAGTACAGACACATATGCATATAAAATAGCAATTTTCCAGTTGGTTTTATAAGCTTATGACTTGGCATAATTTTACTGAATCAGTTCCTGTGGGTTTTACAAAAAAGATTTTTTTAAAATGTGTTCTTAAAAGATTTTAAAATATTTCCATAAAACCAAATTCCATGTCATCTCATCTTACTATTATCATTTAGAGGAGGTATGTTAAGATTCACCGTTATTTATCCTCCACCCAGAGCATTTTCTGAGGTTGAGTGAGGTCAAAGACCAGACTGTTGTTGACTTCAGGTGGCTTTGGTTCAGAGACATACTTTTCACTAGCAAGGGGGTATCCCCCCCACGCCCGAGACACTGATTCCCAGTACTGTGACAGCCATGGGTCAGAGTCAGTGAAAAATGCATTTTTTTCATTCATGGCTTTCCGTTTTTCAAGTTTAAATGTTTAGGTCTTGTATCTCCTCAAAAACACTTAAAAAAAAAGACTGAAATATTTTCATTTGGGTTTTGAGTTATTTTTAAGACTAAAGAGATTGGAAGGAAGGTAAGTGTTCACCAATAAGGTAATTCTTACAGCTTTCTTCCGAGTATTACTAATATTAAACTGGCTTGGTGCAGAAGGTGGAAATCAAGCAGGTAGATAGTCCTCTGCGAGAGGGGGCTGTTTTTTTCCGCACTGATGGAAATCCACTCAATTAGGAGGTCATGTATGCTCAGTAAGCTTTTAAAAAACCACCAAAGTGGCGAACATGATGGCACATTTAATGGCTGTGTCCTGGGGGTATAAATAAGAGAGCCCTAAACTGAGCATGCATGTGCATGGAGTGTGGTTATTCCTGAAAATAAAGACTGTGATGACTCAGATATTGAGTGTGGCTGGGTATTAACAGAAAGTAATAAGCAGTTGCTAGGAGGCATAATTCTACAGTAGCTTCTATTTTGCAGAAATAAACCAAGTGGGAAGAATGTGGAAACACATCTCATTTAGTGGGTAGTAACAGTGATGGTGGTTGTCCCACAGAAATAAATGGGACAGAGTCTGTGGCAGTTTGTATAAGTAACTGCAGGAGGACCTACACCGCTGAGGGGCCTTCTGATGTGCTTCATGCTTCAGGGCTTGGACCGGGCAACATAAGTGTCCAAACAAGAAAGAGTCAATGACCGAAAAGAAATCTGAGTGAAGCTATAATGCTTGGCTTGTGTGAGATTTGCTCTCCATGGACTAATTTTTTTTTGGTGTTTCTGCACCATTAGAATGAAACATTCCTCATGGTACTTGTAGTGTCATGCCCAGGAAGCGAGGCACACGTACTGATTGTTGACAACAGTGTCTACTAAGTCCAAATGTTGAGACTACAGCAACACTGCTTGGTAGAAATATTGCTGCCGTAGATACAAAAGACCATGGAAGAGACCAGGTTTTAATAGATTTAGCGAGGAATCAGTTTCCCATCAAGAAAATATCAAAGCAGAAAAAAAAAAAACTTGCAGAGCAGGGTTGTTCTGTTGCAAGACTGCAGAAGTTGCAAAGGCAAAACAGTTGGGAATGAGAAAATGGGGAATGCAGAGCGCACAGCACAGGGCTGAGCCCCCTTTGAAGCCATTGCAAGTGGCACTGAACGTGTCCGAGAGCAGTGAGGGAAGCGCTGCAGTGTCACAATCGCCACCTGCGCTTGGGAGTAGGCTGCATTTCCCCCTAGGCAGAGCCAAAGAAAATGCCAAATAAATGCACCAGCTTTTCAGGCAGTCGGTGGAGGGAAGGACGGTCGCGTGCTGTCACTCATGCTCGGTCCCTCTTCGGGCACCGAGATTGTGGCGCGGGTGGCAACTGCTGAGCTCTCGCTGCTCTTTCAGGGCAACAAGAACAACGATGCTTTTGCCAAAAGCAGCAGCAGCGGGCAGCCGGAGGGACGGCGACGGCCACCCCCAGGCCCCAAGAGATTCAGAGCAGCTGCTGCCAGCACCCACGCCCCGGGGAGAAGGTAAAATCTTTGGTAACTCTGGGCTTTTTTAGTTTTCGGTGATTCCCTGTGCAGCTCCTGGGGCTCTGCTCTTGGTCTGTGCCAGCTGGGAGTGGCTACAGCCATGTGCTCATGCAGCGTGACAAAAATACCCCTGGGTATATTAGAAAAGCACCTGGAAATAAAACAGCCTCATGCTGATAGTTAATAATTCAGGTGTTAGATCTGTCATTTTATTTTAGAAAGCATGGAAAATGTGACCTTTGTATTTTTCTTAAACTTTTCCTCTGTCACTTTGGGGAAAACTTTTGAAGGGTGAAATAACATTTATTTTCATAAAGGCAGGAAATACAGATTCCAGCCGTAAGGGATAGGCAGGGAGAGAGAGTCTGTTGCGTTGGGGGGCTGCAGGAGCAGATGCTGCGCCCCAGGAGTGGTGACAAAGGCAGGCTGCCGGGCGCTGGGCACAATCTCGGTGCCTGTCTCCCTGTGGTCCTTGCGTTCTCCAAGCTCGAAAGGAAGCTCCGTTGCAATCCCGTCTTTCTCTGCTCTGAGTGGAGCAGGGACAGAATGACCTCCAGGGGTCTCTTCCGACCAGATTTTTTTTCTACGATTTTCTTCCATGATTTTTTTTTTTTTGATGAGCAGAGTTCAGAACAAACACAGGCTGTTGCTTCATTTGAGCAGAAAAACGAGTTCCTCTGAAATCCTTTGCTGGCAGAAAAACCTGTTGGGCTGAACTTAGTAACACACAGTCTCATTTGCTTCTCACACTGCTTTTCAGTACCACGCTGGGTTAAGTATTTCAGAATTAAACCTTAGGAGAGACCTGGCATCATATTCACCTCTGTCCTTTTCTCTCTCCTCCTTTACCAGCAGGCCTTTCCGGCTAAACAGGGGACCAGCCTTCCAGCAGAAGCGGATGCAGCAGCGGTTCTCCAAAGCCAACTTTCAGAGAGGGGTCAGTATCGAGGCATTTTTTCTGCAGCCTGCTGATGGTGACAAGCCTTCAGTTTTACCAGCCTTTGCCCAGTTGTATCTTTGCTTCCAAAAGTAACTGGGAGAGATGGATGACTTTAACAACGAATATATTTCTAGGAAAGTATTTGCAGGACAGGCAATTTTTAGTGCCTTATAGTGACTTAATATTCTGGAAGCTGGAAAACAGAACCTGGGCAGGTGATAAAAGTAAACCTTGCAGCTTATACAGCAGCACGAGCAGGGCAAAGTAAAGCCACTCCATACAGATCACTGTGCCAGCAGGAAACACAAAATTAGCAAATTTCTTGACAACATGCAAGGAAAGAGCTATTCAGATACACCAGATGAAATACTGGAAAAGGAATCATTGTTTCTGAGAGCTAATTCTTTAAGTAATTTTTTTTTAAATATATTTCACAGCAGATGGATGCTAATGGAGAAGGGAAACCACCAAGGATGAGAAGGTAATTGGTGAACAAAGGCACACAGCAAACACGACGTGCTCTTTCACGCTTGAATCGAAGCTGGATACATCTCCCTGTCTCGGCAGGTGGCAAGTGAAACCCAGCCCTGGAGCAGTTCTGACGGTTTCTGTGGCTAATCCCCAGGCGGGCCAGACCGGAGCGTAAGTAAATGAGGTGATTTGTTAGGACGGGAGCCCTACAAAAGCCATTGCAAATCCCTTTAGCATTATTGCAGCTTCGCTTCTTCTATAATGAGTGCGCAATGAATGGTTCAGACCCAAAATGGTTAGCAAATGATGTCTCATTCCCTTCCCGGAGTATCTGAAATGAGATGGTAATTACCGTGTGGCTCGTTTGTTATCCAGAGTAAGGAGAACTGGAAGCGCCGGCAGCGTGTGGGAGGTGGCAGGCTGGTTGTGCTCTCTGTGGGGTGTCGCGGGGGAAACGCTGCGCGCCCTGAAGGGACACGGCATGCTCGCTGTGTAAGAGGAGCGCTGAAGCTGGAAGGGGGCAGCTTCACCCCTGGGCTGAGCCGGTGCAGCTGCAGGACCTGGCACCCAGCTAGGGGCAGAAAGAAGGGTGGGTGAGGGCACTTGGCATGTCCTGGGCACAGAGGGCACCCCATGATAGCCTTGACATGATACAGTCCCCGGTGCTGGAACTCTGCCTGCTCAGCAGCTCTCCTGGTACCCTTTAGACTCATCCAGGCTGCCGGGAGACATGCCATGGGACGTATGGGGCATGCGGGTGTCTCCTGTACTCCTTGCTGGTTTGCAGACGATAGGAAGTGAGCTGCCTTAGCATCCTGAGTGACTGCAGATCTGTGCTTTCCCCAGGCCTGGATCCAAGCGCCCGTTCCTGCGAAGCCAGAGGCCCCCGCCGCGGGCGGCCAAGCCCCAGCCCAAAGGGGTGCTGCTGAGATTCAACTTCCGCGCAATGGCCAACCAGGTAGAGGATTGTCAACGGGACAGGCAGCACCTTGCACCCTGCACCAGCCCTGCTGCTAAGCTGTTAACATCACACTCAGGTTTTTGGGGCTGCCAGTTGGGTTTATCTAGCATAACCCGGGAGGAAAGTCCTGTAGCTGTGTTGGCTAGGTTGCTCACAAAATTGAAGGCACCTGAGAAGACTGTTCAGCAACTACAGACTCAGCCCAATTTTCCCTGCACTGTTGGCCCCTCTTGGCCTGTCCATGTGCTTGCTTGGAGCGGGGAGATGTTCCTTGTGAGCAGTCCTGGCCGGGGACGACCGTTTCACTGTCGGTGCTCCCCACTCCTCAGAGACACACGGCACTTCTGGGCTTTGCTCTCTCTTTGCTTTGGTGACCTTCTCAGTGCCACGTGTTACGCTGAAGTATGGTCCAGGAGCCCTGGGGCAGGTCAGAAATCCTGCTCCACCTTCTCCATTGCTGACATTTCTTGTCTGGACGGTTTGGTTTTACTTGATGCCTTGTGCTCACATGCCATCTGCTTGCTCCTGTTCTTGCCGAGGACACACGGTGTCTTGGGGCTGGGCACTGCTTGGAGGTTTTCCAGCCACACACAGTCTGTTGAGCTCCTTGTCTCCATGTGCTGAGTGGTTTAATTGACTAACTGGCTGTGAGGCACCGTCCTGACTGATGGGCTCTAATCAATACCTCTAATCAATATCCCGCTACAAGTTTGGTCGTGCTTTGCCACGAGACGCGGGACTGACTCGCTCTCCCCTTCCCCTGCAGACCAGCCTGACGCTGGATGAGAGGTTCTCTGGTCTGAGGAATAAGAGGCGCTTTGCAGCAGCCAGGAGTGCCGGACGGACGGTCACCATGCCTTAGCACCGCATGCTCATCACAGGGACTGCCCGTAACAGTCCAGGCCCCATAACGGGCAGCTCAATAAAACTCAATAGATTTCCTCTGAGATAGCTAATTTGGCAATGTGCTGTCTCCTTCCTTACACACAGAATGAATGAGCGATTGAGGGCAGGGACGAGGCAGGGCGAGAGTCGGGGCCAGAGCGCAGGGCAGGTGGGACATGAGTGGGGTGGTGGAGAGGGATGAGTGGAGATGCATTTGCTGGGAATGCTCTGCCAGGGAGCCGCGGGGCTGGCACCAGCCCTGTCCCCCTGCCAGGGCACCCTGTGGTGCCTGGGGTGACTCCTGCAAGAGGGAGGGGGGACCAGCTCCAAGCCATACCTATGGAGCCTTCCCTGTGTTGTCCCATTGGTGAGACAGGGTTGAGGGCACTGTGCCTGCCCACGTGGGAGACAGAGCGGGGAGCAAAGCGGGGCTGAGGAACGTGCCCCAGCAGTGGCACCAGCGGGGATGCTCCAGCTGCCCGCATTCCCCAGCATCCACCTCATTGCCCGATTTGTTGTGCGTGCTGCCACCCCTGCCCAGAGGTTTGCAGTGTAAGACCCCTCCATCCTGAAAACGTCTCGCTCTGCCCCGATAGTCAGGCCTGAGCATCTTGCATTTCTCTTTGGTTTGCCGTGCTGTTCTGACTGCTGCTGCTGCCAGCCCGGTTGCGGGGATGGGGTGAGACATGCCGTGCTGTGCCGCTGGAGCGACTGTCCTTGGCGCGGAGCACAGACGGGCTGTCCCAGCCCAAATCAGGTTTTCCAGTGCTGTGGTAGTTCTGCATTAGGGATTTTGTAGGTGCATCTCCACCCGTGCTCAGAGCACCAGCATAATCGAACTAGCAGCTGCAGGAGGGAGGCCAGGCTCTACAGCAGTCCGATAAAGATTAGCTGAGCTGTTAGTGAGCTGGGTCTAGACATTTGTTAACGAACCCCTGCACCAACCGTGAGTGAGTGATCCATTCTCCACCCACTGCTGAAACCCAGCACTGAAGGCGCTGGACACAGCCTGTTACTGGGCTCTAAGCTATACTTATTAAAGTAAACATTTGATAGACTGCTTTGTATTTTACACCAAGCGTCTTTAACAAGAGACTGGACTCAGTGTTGGTTTTATAGGAATGTGTGAAATGTTGTTAGTTGACGAAGCGGTGATGTACGAGTCCAATGCACTGAATAAAAAACTAACTTGTCAAACGTCACCTCTGGTTATTTCTCTTCCTTCAACAGGCTTTTGGCACAAGTTCAGCCTCTCATTGTGGCACTGCAGGCCACAGTACGTGCGGCCACATGGGCTGCCGCCTCGGCACGTTGGGGGAGGCCGTGGTCCCCGTTGGTGCCCGCCTGTGGGCAGTGGGGCACTGGCCTGGCTGTGCAGGCAGTTTGCTGCTCGCAAAGCTGGCTCCAAAGCACAGCCAAAGCAGTGGGAGGTTTTCAGTAGGTATTTTGTAAAATCTTTGCTGTGATCTCTATTGCCTTTAATGTTATTGGCAAAATTATCAGAGCAGACCTGGCTCCGAGTATGTCCAAAGCAAAACGAATGCAAACTGACTTCCAGGCTAATGAACTCAGGACAAGACATCACCCCTTCATGCAAATAATCCAGATGTCATGGAAGATTAACAAGAAACACTGTCACAAATGGCAATATCCCTGATTTCAGTTACACCTTCACTATAAATATTGACAAACAATGGTAGACTCGCTAAGAAAACCTGATCACTTCTTAAACCAGGTTGCAAAGGGATGGAACTGTTCAATCCTGAAGGAACAGCTGAGTGTGCAGCATCCCCACCGTGTTCAGGGCACGCCCTGATACTGTTCTCCAAATAGACGTTTTTCACCAATCTGTACCTTATATTTTTTTGAGTACTCCTTAAATTAAAATTGAGGGCTTAATGATAAAAACGACACCTTTTTTCTAGCTTGATTCCCCTACAGGGCTGGGTGACTTTGCGTACAGCAAGAGATAAAACAGGCTTTGCACAGAAGGGCACTGAATTTATAAGTAGCAAAAAAGCATAACCATCGTGCTAAAAACATAATGGGAGAGGGCACAGAGTCAGTTCACTCCCAACAGGCATAAAACACCCCTTTTTGCCACGGTAGTAAAACCACAGAATAATTATCTCTAAAATTATCCCTGCTGTCGTGCATAGGGTGAGCTGCTGCGCAGAGCCCGGCTGCTCTTCGGGGAGGGTGTTCGTGTGACGCAGTTCAGCACGATTCTTTAACCGCCGCCTGGGAGATTTGTTTGTCCAGTTGGGCTGTTTCTGATGGTTTCTGCGGCGGTGTCCAGTGCCGCACAGGGGGTCTGGGGTCCCCTACCCGGAAGGTGGCAGCAGCCGGCTGTTGGCTGAGCCCCCCACCGGGACAGCTACTCTCAGGCTGGGGCCACCGGCAAGGGGCAGCTATGCAACCTGGAAAACATTTTTAATCTCTTTCAGGCCAGCCAAAGCCATCTCCAGAATGACACCTCTGGTGGTGTCTGACAGCTTTTAAAAATGCAGGAGCAACTGCACAGGGTCAGAAGAGAGTCCCCGTAGTGCATCCCAGGGGAGGAGGGGCACCAGCACATGTGCGTGGCCCCAGTCAGTCACTGCGCTGAACCCACAGCACCAGTGATTTCTTTGTTTAGCCACGTGTATCATTGTGTTTAACAGCATTTGGTGGGGTTTTCTTCCGCTATTGCTTTTTGCTGTTTGCTTTCTGTGTATTTGTCTATGCCTCCAAAGGCCAGTATTGCGAATGAATATTCATTCCTTTACGCCCTTGCCAATTTATAGACCCATGCTGTGCTCTCCCTTGCTCACGTCCCTTCTAGGAGAAGAGCCTTGATGTATCTACTTGTCCACTCCCTGGAAGCTGACCCATCCCTCTGGTCACCTTTGTACCTTTTCTAGCTCTGCTACATCTGCCTGAGACAGCAGGGCTGAAGCAGACATGATATTTGAGATGGATTTATAGGGAGGCTCTGCTTTGTTTTCTGTTCCTCTCCTAATAATTCCTAACATTCCAGTTGCTTTTTAACCGAGAATAGCCACTTGGAGTAGGAAATGGTAAGGCACATTTATATTGGTTTAATGAAACAACTTGCCAGGGAACATTATCTGCAGAAGCTGGTTTCACAGCCCACCTAACTGTGGTAGAGAGGGCACCTGGAAAGGCTGGCTGCAAGAGGACATGCCCAAGGGTCCGACTTTCCCATCTAAACACTAGCACTGACGTTCGGTATTTTCTTAGCCGTTCACAGGATGTCTGTTTTGATGCTAAAAGCTACCTTTAATGAGCTTAACAGAGAGGGGGTAGAAGGCCAGTTTTCCCTGTGAATTTCCCTGTTTGTCAGTTCTTGCTGATTTTAGTGTCGTATGACCAGGAGGAGATGTGCATCAGGTTACTCCCCAGTATTTTGGGGCACGCGCATTGTCAAGTAGCACAGGGCAGGCTCCCAAAGTGATGCCCCAGGAGCAGCGTGGTAGTAGGGGCCTCTAGGATAAAAACGTATGGTTTGGGGCAGACCCGTTGGTCAAATCCATCCTGGTAACAAAATGGTAGCCAAGGCATCACCCAGGGGGGCTGGCAGTCTCTCCTGCATTGCACAGGGGTCCTTGTGCCGGGGTTAGGCAGGCTGGCTGCAGAACGGAGTCAGGCAGGGCATGAAGTTGCTGCCCGGGCTCGAAGGTGCAGGGGGAAGCATCGGTGGAGGTGGAGCCCGCTGTCAGCAGCAGCAGTTGTTAGTTTTTAGGGGTCCTTGGAGGGATTCAGACAGCCAGAAACCACAGGCAAAATATTTAAACAGAAACCTGAGATCCAAACAGCGTCTCGGGCACTGTGGTTCCCTCAGGGGCTGGGATAAACTGAGCTACAAGCAGAGCGTTTGCCAGGCAGCAGCTCAGTAGAAAAGAGTCACAACAAGCTGAGAAAAGACACGCAAACCCCTAGACTGAAATGCAAGGGGTGCCCCAAACTGGACCCCAGACAGCAAAACAGCCTGGAGGGGGGAAACAGTCTGTGGAAGGTCAAACGGTACTTTATCAACTAACTTATTTCCAGATATCTCGTATCATTTCTGAACAAACCAGCGTGGTACCCCAGCACAGTGCTAGGTGGGAAAGGGATGTAGGGAAGTTCTACAAACCTGAAGGATTTACCACAACTTCCTAGAGGACCAGAAAAACTAACAGCATCCCCCCAGACAGCACTGGGCGATCCCAGCCCCTCCAGTTGAGGTGTTGCAATGCGCAGGATGCCCCACTTTCACAGCTAGCCCTGCTCCAAGCCAGCATCAGCTTTGTCAGGAACCCACGTCCCACACTAGGTGCAGAAACTTGGCTCCGCTTTGTACCCTGGAAAAGGGATAGCCTCTTCCAGAGTTTGACTACCAGGCCTTTAACTTCCATTTGCAAGGCAGAGACTTATATTTCCCCATTACAGGTTTCATTTGCTGAAGTCTTATCCCCACTGTTCATCTGGATCAACTCTGACCACTTTTAGAGGCAACATAACATAAAGTGCTAAAATGTGGAGGCAAGAGGAACAGAAAAATCAGATTTGGGCTTCATCCACTCAAGATCAGAGGTTTAGGATTTAGTATTAAGCCATGTCCTAAAGCAGATCCTTCCTAGCTATGTCAGGACTGCTGCCAGCTCTCATGATTTTACTGAAAGTCCTGTGATGTTTAATGCTGCAGTTAAAACCCTGGTTCCTGGAGGCAGGTCAAGAGGTGAAAATCTCAGCTTGCCTGTATTAAAAAGTCAATTTTCAATGCTGTGGCTGTGTGGGGAAGACCATGACCCAAGAGTAACTTAAAAGCTTGGGCATCAGATGTCAAAAACCCAAGGAACCTCTTAATTATTTTTTTGGAATGTCATGTTTCTAAGTCAACCTCATGATGTTTGGAGCTTGACTCATGACTCTGAAATGCTCAGAGCACACTGCTGGGCCAAAATTAATCCAGAGTCATGTCTCACTGTGAAT